GGATGATGGTTGGATGATGGATGGATGATGGATGATGGTTGGATGATGGTTGGATGATGGATGGATGGATGATGGTTGGATGATGGATGGATGATGGATGATGGTTGGATGATGGTTGGATGATGGATGGATGGATGATGGTTGGATGATGGATGGATGATGGATGATGGTTGGATGATGGTTGGATGATGGATGGATGGATGATGGTTGGATGATGGATGGATGGATGATGGATGGATGGATGGATGGATGATGGATGGTTGGATGATGGATGGATGATGGATGATGGATGGATGGATGGATGGATGATGGATGGATGATGGATGATGGTTGGATGATGGTTGGATGATGGATGGATGGATGATGGTTGGATGATGGATGGATGATGGATGATGGTTGGATGATGGTTGGATGATGGATGGATGATGGATGGATGATGGATTGTCCCTCTCTGTCCTCTGCAGCTCGGCCTTCCTCTGTCCAGCCTGTGCCTGGTTCCATGTAACACCATCTTTGGATCCCAGCATCTAATGGTAGGAGAGTCCTGCTGGAGACGCTTCTGTCCTAGTTGCTTCAGAGGACATGGTGATAATGATGCTGTCTCTTCCAGGACGTCGCCCTGCTGGACAAACTGGTCAGAGAGGACATAGAAGCCGGGAAGCTTCCTCTGCTGGTGGTCGCCAACGCAGGTGAGGGACCTTCCTGCCTGAGGTCTCCCTCCATATGGGAGCTTTTGTCAGCAGTTTCTGCAGCAGATGATGCGCGTCCTGATGTCTCCTGGGTGACGTAGTTGTCCTGGTTTTGCTCCACCCAGGAACCCCTGGAGCGGGTCACACGGACAAACTGGGCCGCCTGAAGGAGCTGTGTGAGCAGCACAGGATCTGGCTTCATGTGGAGGGGTCAGTCACAGAGAAGCTCATCTTTGTTTTATTAGGAACATTTATAATGCATGGTTATTTCATTTATTAATTTCCTAATTTAAAAAAAAGCAGTATTCTTTAAATTTGTTTTATTAAATATTCAAGAAAAAGGTTTTCAATTTCTTAGTTCCCTTCTAATATAGATCTGGATAAACAGATTAAAGTGAATAAATTTAGTTTAAAAATGTTTATTTCTGGCTCTTAACGCCAACATCTCCTCTTTATGAGGGACTCTAGAAATAGAGTATTAGAATTCACCGTCCTGCTGCATTTAATAAACCAAACCAGATGTTTCCTGCCTGGTCTGAACTGAACCTCCATGAAACCAGTTCAGTAATATTTATTCACACATTTCAGTTTTATTTGGATTAAAAAGTTTTATTAGGATGAAAATGTTTGATCAAACCTCAGGTTTGCTCCAATCATCCCGCCGAGGTTCTCTGCTCACCCTGATCCTGATTCAATTCAATAGAACTGAAAAAAGAATGAATGATAGATGCATTATTTAATCAGTTTAATTCTGTTCCTGTTTCTTTAGGGTCAACCTTGCCACGCTGGCTCTGCCTCAGGTCACCTCTGCTGTCATGGTAACCATCATTTTCTGTCCTTTCTGATCTCTGATTAAAAGGTTTCCTGTTTTGAACGGTCCTGATCCGATCATCCAGATCTCTGATGGAAACCCTCTGCTGCTGTTCAGAGCTTCTCCACCTCCTGGATTAATGATGGATGGAGCAGAAGTTCTCATACCTCTCAGTAAATAGTATCTAATAAAGCAGCTTAGAGTCAAAGTCGCACATATTCACATGAATCGGCGTAAAACATTGAAAAACCTCTGAACAAAAGCTGAAGTTGTTCCTCTAACTTCTATAAAAGCGTTTCTAAAGAGCAGAATTTATACTGGAGGAATAAACATCAGTAGTTTTGAAGCCTGTGATCATTTTGGTTGAATGTCTCTAACAGCCGACTCTGACTAACTGCAGTTACTCTGAGTTTGGTTCTGAGGTCATTTGGTCCCTTTAACCATCAGAAACCTGGATTGTGTTGCAGAGCTGCAGGATGGCTGCAGCTCAGAGTGATCTAAACAATCCACAGCTCTGCTCTCACTTCCTGCTTGGGATGATGAGTCCTGTTAGCTTTGCTATCTGCAGCCAGTCATTCATTAAACCAGCAGTTTCTAACCGGCGCTTCCCTCCAGGCTACGGCATCCCAGGAGGTCAGAAAAAACATGGAAGCTCAGATAACACAAAAATAAACACTGCAGGATTTAAATAAAGGAAGGGTTTTAATAAACCATCAGAACCAGAATGTTCTGATGGGGTTGTTTGGATCGGGGGAAACGGTTCTGATAGGACAGCTGAAGGACAGAGCTGTGATTGATTCCAAGCAGCGCTGCAGGGGGATTCTGATCTTCCTGGAATCCAACCAGCATCTAGATGGTTCCTCCTGGGTTTCCATCACCTTAAAGCTGTTCCACAGTCCTTCATGGCAGAACTTCACTGGAACCACCAAGTTCTTACTTCTGTGCCCATGTATGGATCTGCTGCTGGAGACGGCTCCCATGGAGACAGAAAACATTTCCTAGATTGTCTCATCATAGATCGGACTGGTAGCGCCGATTATCGGCTGTAATGGGTCGTTTCTCCACAGGCAGCCACCAGGAGCGACAGCATGACGCTGACGCCGGGCCGATGGCTCGGGCTGCCGGCGGTGACCGCTGTGACCCTCTACAGGCATGAAGACCCGGCACAGGTAGGCCCCGCCTCCTCAGAGAAATCCTCAGCGCGTTGGTCGGTCCTCTCTAAGCTCTGCCCGGTGGTCTCAGTCTCTGGCAGCAGGTCTGACCTCCAGCCAGCCGGTGGAGAAGCTGCGGGCGCTGCCTCTCTGGCTTTCCCTGCAGCACCTCGGACACAACGGCATCGTCCAGAAGATCCGACAGGCCGCAGATCTGGTGAGCAGGACCTGCTCCAGTACTTTAAACACTGGGAGGATGTTACTGGACCAGTTAGATGATGGGTCAGTGTTACTGGACCAGTTAGATGATGGGTCAGTGTTACTGGGCCAGTTAGATGATGGGTCACTGTTACTGGACCAGTTAGATGATGGGTCAGTGTTACTGGGCCAGTTAGATGGTGGGTCAGTGTTACTGGGCCAGTTAGATGGTGGGTCAGTGTTACTGGACCAGTTAGATGGTGGGTCAGTGTTACTGGGCCAGTTAGATGGTGGGTCAGTGTTACTGGGCCAGTTAGATGGTGGGT